CTGGTGAGACCCCACCTGGAGTACTGTGTCCAGTTCTGGAGCCCTCAGCATAAGAAAGACACAGACCTGTTGGAGTGGGTGCAGAAGAGGGCCACAGAAATGATTGGGGGGTAGAACACTTCTCCTATGAAGAAAGGCTGAGAGAGTTGGGGTTATTCAGCCTGGAGAGGAGAAGGCTCCAGGGAGACCTTACTGCAGCCTTTCAATACTTAAAGGGGGCTTATAAGAAAGATGGGGACAAATATTTTAGCAGGGCCTGTTGCGACAGGACAAGGGGGAATGGCTTTAAACTAAAGGGGGGCAGATTTAGACTAGGTAGAAGGAAGAAATTTTTTACGCTGAGGGTGGTGAAACACTGGCACAGGTTGCCCAGAGAGGTGGTGGATGCCCCATCCCTGGAAACATTCAAGGTCAGGTTGGACGGGGCTCTGAGCAACCTGATCTAGTTGAAGATGTCCCTGCTTGTTGCCGGGGGGCTTGGACTAGATGACCTTTAAAGGTCCCTTCCAACCCAAACTATTCTATGATTCTAAAAATAAGCTTCAGATATGCTGTGCGTTTTAACTCACAATTTTTAACTAGCTCTGTTGCAGGGGTGTTGCAGTGAGTCTAGCTTGTGATTTTTTTGATTGCCTTGGGGTTGGCAATATTGCAGGTTTCTCAGGTCAAACAAGAAGGGATCTTGTTGGACAAGAAGAGCAGAAGGGAAAAACAGGAGCCTGTCTTAGAAGTGCCAGCGTTTTCCGAATTGCAAAACCCCATCTCATGTTGTTCATCTTGCTGGAACAGTTATCTGGACGTCTTGCCGTTTTAAGTGTGCGGCCCAGCATCCTGTCTAGCTGGGGCTGGTCCCCACCAGCAGACCTCTATCTCCCATCAGCAGTGGTGGTAGCAGCACAGACCTGCCATGGGTGAGCCAAGGCCCTCCTGCTCCCCTCCAAAGGTGGCAGGAGTGGCTCTGCTCTGCACATTGCTCCTTTCCCTCCAGGTTGTTCTTCTCTGTCTCTCTAGCATGCAGCAAAGCTGCGGGTCACAGCTGGCCACACAGCCATCTTCCCAAGAGGTTCTTCCCAACAGATGTGCTTCTCCAGATGTGCTCTGCTCTTCCCTTGCAGAGGTGTACATGTACCATTTCTCTGTTGAGGCTGATATGACTGGACAGGATTGCAGGGCTCATGAAAACTGGCACATTTCTGAATGAAATTGTTCTGTTGTCTGCGATTTGATGCCTTCAATTTTCCACCTCTTGATTCACTGAGCTGTGACATTGCCTTGTTCTTTGGGAAGAAGTCTCTCTCTCAATGCTAGATCAAAAGGAACCGGTTGGGGTGAAACCTTCATTCTGCCTGCTCTGGGCCCATACATGCTGCATCAATTTTTCAGCTTCTTTAGGTTTTTTTCCCTCTGGTTTTTCAAAAGAAAGGTTTTGAAGGGAAGAAGAAACTTTGAGAGAGTCAAGGTGTGCATTTAGACGTCATCAACTGCATCTTTTTTGATGGATATTTATGCATTAGTCTACAGTTGCTCAGCATTGGTAGATAAGTAATCCTGGGTCTTGAAGGATCTAAAGGAACAGGTTTTCCAGCCCTGAAGATCAATCATTGAGATGACTGTAAATTGCTTTTATCCGAATATTGTTTTTAACAGTCAGTGCTTCCTTTTTACATTAGAAGATGATGGTGTTAATATTTTTCATGTGGTCCAGTCACTTGTTTCCTATCAACTTCAGCCTTGTTGGATCATGTCCACGCGCACGCTCGGCCATGGTCACTAGCCAAATACTAGCCACTATGACCCAACCAGCTGGCAGATGTAATACCACAGAGACCAAGGGCGGCAAGGGGAGGAGAACAAGGCAAGCAGAGCTGGCGGTCTGAGCAAGGGCTTTACTTCACCTGACACTGTGACTGCTTCCATGGGGTGTGTGGGCTGTCAGAAACTGCTCCCGTGGTGTTCCCTCACGTCTGTTGTTTGAAAATCAAATGACAGTAAATTCCACTCACAGTCGGCATCACTCTCTGGCTTCCCTTTTCCCTATGTGATGTTCAGGCTAACAGGAGCACAAGGAGGTGTTAATGCTCTCAGCCTTTCCCTTCGTCTTTCTAGGAGCTGAATTTTCTTCTGAAATTACCCAAACGGGAGCCTAATGTTTCTGGAGTGACAAACAGAGAAAATGAGAACTAAGTCCTCTTGGGTCATGAAGGGATTGAGAGCAGCCCTGTGCAGAAGATCTTGGGGATACTGGTGGATGAAAAATTGGACATGAGCCGACAATGTGCGCTTGCAATCCAGAAGGCCAACCATATTGTGGGCTGCATCAAAAGCAGCGTGGCCAGCAGGTCGAGAGAGGAGACTCCCCCCCTCTACTCTGGTGAGACCCCACCTGCGTCCAGCTCTGAGGCCCCCAACATAAGAAGGACATGGACCTGTTGGAGCGAGTCCAGAGGAGGGCCACAAAAATAATCAGGGGGATGGAACACCTCTCCTATGAAGAAAGGCTGAGAGAGTGGGGTTGTTCAGCCTGGAGAAGAGAAGGCTCCAGTGAGAACTTACAGCAGCCTTCCAGTACCTGGAGGGGGCCTACAAGAAAGCTGGAGAGGGACATTTTACAAAGGCAGGTAGTGACAGGACAAGGGGTAATGGCTTTAAACTGAAAGAGGGTAGATTTAGATTAAATACAAGGAAAAAATTCTTCACTGTGAGGGTGGTGAGGCACTGGAACAGGTTGCCCAGAGAAGTTGTGGATGCCCCATCCCTGGAAGTGTTCAAGGTCAGGTTGGACGGGGCTCTGAGCAACCTGATCTAGTGAAAGATGTCCCTGTCCATGGCAAGGGGGTTGGGCTAGACGATCTTTGGAGGTCCCTTCCAACCCAAACCATTCTGTGATTCTGCTCCGGAAGCGATCCACCAGAATTGTTGGGTATTTTGGCCTTAAAAAACCCCAAAGAAACCGCAAAAAACCCCACAGGTCTCTGCCCTCAAGAGACCCTTGAATTTTAAGGACATGTTTTCTTACCCGTATTGCTGTCTGTACCCCCAACCATTGCCCAACCACACCCTGAGGGGCAGTGACCCCCCCACAGCACCGGTCCCCCTCGGATGCTCTCCAGGGCATGGAGCAGCGTTCCTGCCGGCTCTCACGAGAGGCAGGAGCTGGGCTGGAAATGCCTGTTGCCCTTTGGTGACAACCACACTACTGCTTGCTTTGTTGCATACTAATGAGTGCTAATTGGCCTTGGCTTGTTATCAACGTTGTGCGAGAGCTGTTTGCGGAATAGTGGGGTGGGGGCAGGGGAGACCCCAAGGGGCTCCTTCCCTCTGCCAAGAGGTGGCTTTGCGGGGGGATGGGGGCTGAACTGATGCTCCTTGTGGAAACATCTCCATTTGTGAGCCACGGGAAGGCCTTGCCTGCTGGCCTCATGCCAGCCTTGGTAGTGGTCCACCTGGCAGGTGGGCTCCCCCCCTCTGACATGGCAGGAGGTTACAGGGAGTTATAGGGGTTACAGGGAGACCCCTTGTCCTTAAACACACCTCGGGGCGTGGGGAGGAGTCAAGCCCTTTGGGAGGCTGGGCAGCGCTTTCCTGCAGGTCTTCTCGGCGTCAAAGGTTCAGTGCCCCTCTCCTACCCCCATCCCCGGGCACTGCATGCAGCCTCTCCACGCGCTATCTCATTTACCAGTGTTATCCCTGAACTGTTCACCTGGAGCCTGTCTCCTCCTCTCCACTGCCCTTCTACCATTGTTGCAATATCTGGCGTTCACTGCAGCAGCTGGATATCTCCTGCAGCCATACCCTTTGTCCGATTGCTCAGCCTGAGCGATGAAGGGCATGGAAACCTCCAGAGGCTGGTCCTGCTGGGGGGGAAAAGCCACCGTGGTTTGCTACAAGCTAGAGAGAGAGGGAGGCTTGATGGAGCTGGCTTGCACCAGCACTCTTGAAAAAAACCTCTATCATGCATGTAAAGTCGTAAGTCTGGCTAATGTGTGATATTGTGTTTGTAGGACACGACGAGCTGATCTTGTGCTGGGGCAGTCCTGGCGCAGGCAGGACGGCGTCCAGACCCACGGTACGTTGGGGCTTCTGCCAGTGGGAGAGTTGCAGTTGTTGCTTCAGAGGCGGCTTTGCTAATTTTGGACGAATGGCCTGCTGACCCTGATGTTTTCGGGCTGGGACTTGTCAGCGACTTTTCTGAAGCTGAAAATCATTTTACACGAGCTGAGAACGGCGCCTGTAGCTTTTCTGGCGTTTGAATCCTGATTATCCCCCGTGAAGAACAGCAAGTTTCAGACCAGGTCCTGGTGACCACGCTTCGTTTTAATTTACTCTTTCTTTGCTCACGTAATGACGGGAGTTTTTCCAAAGAAAGGACTCGTAAGGAGAGGGGATCAAAGTGTCAGGAGTAGTGGCAGGGAAGGATGGAGCACTGGCCAGGCACAGGGGGTGAGCGCAGGGGATGCTCGGCTGGGGAGCAGCCCTGAGGAGCACGATATGGATCATTTTTTTCCTCCCATCTGTTGTTAGGAGCAAATAGGGAGTGAGCTATTGCGCTTCCTCCCCAGCTGCTAACGACGGGAGACTTGCTTATGGTCGTGCACTGGAAGCTAATTAAAACCGGTGACAATGGTAATTGAGTAAGGATGCTTCAGGATAAGTATGACCTCATGTCTAAAATGGTAATGAGGCCTATTAAAATCCCCACCAAAAAGAGAAATGAAAGAGGGAACAGAGGCAAAGGTGGTGCGAGGGAAGCGGGCACAGGCGGGGACAATACCTGGCAGCCAGAGCGCTGGGAGGGATGGGGAGCACGGAGGTGCCGGGCTTTTAAATGTCCTTAATAAACAGCCCGCTCCTCAGCTAGCCAGGCTGCCGCTTGGGGCGAGCCAGCCAAAGCACTTCGGTACGTGTGTCATTCAAGCGTGTTCCTCCCCTGCTCGCCCAGGCCGGGGTTTAGGTCCCATTAGGTGATGGCAACACTTGTTGCTGTTTGTTGTTGTCTTCACTTGCTGGTTCTTTGCTGGAAGAAGGGACCGTGCCAGGAAACCGGCAGTGGCTGCCAGGGCCGGGGGGGGCCTGCAAAGATACGCCCTGAAATTGTACTGGTGTGGGAAAACGCATTGGCAGAGGAAAGCTGCGGCGAGCTCGGGGTGCTGGGATGCCACACTCTGGCTCAGACCATCACAGCACCCGGTTTCGGCTCTGCAAGCGGGGTGTAGGGGCCGGGGGCCACCGTGACCCTGGCATGTGTTGTTTTGCAGGGTAGCGTAGCAGGGCTCGGGATGCCACCGTGCTCTGCGAGGACCCATGCCCTGTGCTGACTCATCTCACCGCAGAGGACACCCCGAGGGACGCTGGGAGGTGGGCGCTCCCCATCCTGGCTCTGGATGTGCACCACATCACTTTGGGTAAGCTCAGCCTTGGGCTGCCAGACCCCCTCCCTATGCCCTGCTGACAGAGGGGAGATCCGGCATATGCCAAAGGCTTCTCCTCGCTGGAGAAAGCCGACCCTCGTCCTTCCGGCAGGGGCAAAGGTACGGCTGGATGACGGCTGAGGATGTGCTATGGAGCTGGGGTTCAACTGCTCTGAGCTCTGTGATGGCAGCTCCAGTTTTGGCAGCCAAGAGCAGCAGCAGCGGGCGCTGCAGGAGCTCTGCACTGTCACAGTGGTACGTACGGAGGCGGGGGAGTGCTCTGGGGCGTGAGTTTTGCTCTGCAGAAGTGGATTTGTGTGGAGGGATGGAGAGGGGGACACAGGAGTGCAGCCACCAAGTAATCCCGGTCCAGCTGGAGGCTGCACGCTGTCACCTCCTGGGATGGCCTCCAAGACAAGCCCTGCCTAGATGACACCCAGCAGTTAGGCAGTAGGTGAGGAAGCAGCCACAACAGCCAAGTCGTGTCAAGCAGCCCTCCCGTGTGTCGGCCGGCGTGACAGCCGCTTAGGAGTGGCCGGGGATGGCCTCCTCTGCCCTTGACCTTTCCCATCCCCTGGAACTTCAAAGTGCTTTTCAAATATGAATAAAGCAGGATTTAATTAAAAGTCATCATCTATAATAAATGGTGCCTCACCTCCACGACTAAGCCAGTAGAAATGACACCGGGATGCACTTAGTTGCAGTTGGCTCCGCATGAGGCTGCTGGATGGACCAGTGAGGCTTGGCCCGCTCGGCTCTCCACCGTGTCCTCCACGACCACAGGCCTTTAATTAGAAGACTGTAAGCTGCTTGGCTCCTCTGGCTCTGGCAGCTGCCTTAACAATTAATATTCCCCCTGCTAGGGCCAGGATTTACTCCGCTCAGCGGCAAACGAAGCGCTCCATCAACTTCAAGTAGCATCAACATCCAGGGAAACAGCAGTCGAGGTGTGGGGGGCGGGTGTTGGGAAAGGAAAGGTGGAGACCACAGGGATGTTTCTGATCCCTGGGTGGCTGCTGGGAAGTGGGTGCAGTAACGCTTTCGGCAGCAGCCAGGGGTGGAAAGGTACTGCTGGTGGATGCAGCTGGGAGTGAAGTGTGGGAGCCCCGGGATGCCGAGTCTGCCACGCATACCTTACTGGCAAAAGCCAGGTGTTACCCTCAGGCTCGACCAGGCAGGATGCAGAAATAGGATGGCGTTACAGCCTTGTACTGGCCCTGAGCAGCCCTGTCAGCCCCTCTGAGGTCCAGGCAGGTGGGAAGATGGCCCTGATTCGTGCCGAATGACGGGGTTTTTGCACAGCGAGTCCTGGTGTACAGGGAGGGGGACTGACCTGGCTGACCATCTCCACCGTCTGGTGTGGTCTTCATTTCCCAGAGAGCCAAAAGACCCCCCAGAGGATGCGGAGAGAGAAGAGGAGGTGGGGAGCAGTTTGCAGGAGGGAGACGAATATCTCCCCAGGGATTCCTCCATGCTGCTGCAAAGCGGGGCTGAGCTGTGCATACAGCTGTACCCCAGCATAACACAGCAGCAGCAGCAGCATTGGCTCTCGGCTGGCTGTCTCTCCCAGCCAGGGGTTTGCTTTACCCAGCAGCCCTGCGACCAGTGTGGCACCAGCATGTGAGCTGCCAGGGACCCGCAGATCAGCCATGCTCGCGTAGCGGTGACACATTTTTGTTTTAAGAATTACGTGTTGGCTTTAATTCTCCAAGCTGTGCCTTGTTCTTGCTCGCCCGGAGGAGATGGAGCCCTGCTGGGGAAGAAGGAGACAAGGCATCGGCTCGAAACGACTGCCTTACTTCTCCCTGCAGATTTATTTCTAGCAACACTGGAAGCAGAAACAGCTCAGACCTTGAAGGAAGAATTGGGAGTTTGTGGCAGTGGCAGCTGTCGGGAAAATAGTCTTCTGCCATAGAAATTGCATGCAGGTGAACTGGAATACCTGAGAAAGGACTTAGCACCAGAGAAGTTAGTGAGGAGGTGTGTGATCCCAGCTCAGTCCCCATCCTCCTCCTCCCCTTAAAGGGGATGCGCCAGCAGTTAAGTAAAAGTAATGCTTTTTTTAAAGAAAAAAAAAAAGTTAGTAATATGCACACATAGTATGTGTGAATGAACCCACACATGCACGCCCTGTTAAAAATGCTGGAGTATTTTAGATCCGCAGCGGAAATAGGTTTCTTGTTTCATGTAGGATCATTTTATCCATCCTATGTTAATAAGGAGATAGCAGAGAATATTTTTAAATGGAGATTTAAAACCATAAGGTCGTTTGTGTGCAAGGAGAGAGGTGCCTCCATCATACCCGCTTTGGGAGTGTCCCTCAAAAGCTAGTTCTCAGCTGATGTCTACCTAGGACCAAGTTAGTTTCCAGCCACCTGGGAGACGGGTGGAGTCCAGCTCGGTGTGTCACTGCATAACCCGTCTGAGAAACACTGTCCCACTCCCTTTTCTGTGTTTTCTGCACCGACTGGCAGCTCTGCTGCTGGCTCCCGGTCAGGTCAGCCAGCTGGTTGGTTATCTGCTGCATGAAAGGGTAAGGGTGGGAGCCAAGGGTACCCTATCCAACTTTCCAAAGAAGCATGCTACAAACGGGGGTACCACAAGGTCTTTCTCCAGAGGTTTCTTTCCAGAGAAGGACAGTGGGGAACTGTCGCCCATTTTCCCCTCTCCCACGACCAGGGCTGCCTGAGGTTTATGAGTCACTTTATGGCTTCATTACATATTTGGCTAGTTGGCCATAAGAAGAGGGCTCCTGTACTGCCCTCTCTTCCTGTGCGCTCAGCAAGTGGCAGAGTATGTGTCCCATCTACACACATCTCCTTAGCTCTGCCAGCGGGCCTTGGTCTAGTGCCAGGGTGTCTGCTCATGAGGAGGGGTTTGGGAGATGTGGTTTTGAGTCCTTTCTGGCTGAGCGGGAGCACCCACGGGAGTGACCATGCCAGCAACGTCCTCTTCCTCCTCATCCCTTTTGCCTCCTCCAGACATCTTCTGACCGCAGTGGGAAGAGCTCCCCGTCCTCTGCTGCTCTCCTGGGAGTTGTGTGGACATTCCTGACCGGAGGAGTCTTGCTAGCGCTCTTCTTTCTTGTCTTCACAATTCGCTTCAGGAAAAACAGGTAAGGGCTTCCCTCTTCTGCCGTGAGAGCTCCCCCAAGCTAGGGCAGCGGGGTTGGGCTCCTTCAGAGCCAGGCTCTGAGCTGATGGCTGGCTAAGGACCAGGAGCGTACAAGCCTGAAGGAGCAGCACAGGGCAAGCAAGGGCAATGCCAGGGATATTGCAGCTTTCTCAGTCACACCCAGTGTTGATCACTGGTGGAGACAGTCCTGCTTGGACTGCTCCCTTCCTCCCCAAGTCAGGGAGCAATGAACAAGGCAGAGCATGGATGCCCTCCAGCGTAGCACAGGCAGCGGTGCATGGTCTCATCCTGAAGGTGCTATTCAGTAAAACCATCAACAGCAGTGAGCAGAAAGAGAGCTGGTCTCCTTCTCCACCCCACAGTCTTGAGAGCATCACTTTGAGCAGCATAGCTCCATGAGCAAAGCCATCATGCTCTCCACAGTGCGCACATATCCTTCCTGCTGTTGGGCCACTCTTAGTTTGAAGATATTGCTAACCGTTTTTGATCTTGGTGGTTGTCCATATTGGTGGGGAACGTGATTTCCGTTGGTGGTGAAGTGCAGGCTTTCCTTGGTGCTGTTCAGTCTGCACAAAGGATGTAAAAAGTCCGGCTCCCCTGAATGCAGCATAAATCAAGCAAAAGGCTCAGCAATTCCTCATAGCCCAAACTGTCTCAGCCAGTGCTTAGCCTTCCTCAGCACTTCTGGATGTCTCGCCTGCCTCCTTGCCACCTTCTCCTCAGCTTCATTGGTCCATTGGTCTCTCAACTGCTTCCCCCATAGAGATACATGCCTCTCCCAGGCTTCACCTGGCAAAGCCTTTATGCTCCATGTGCCGTTGTTTTGTAGAGAGGCGCATCTGTGTGCAGCCCGGGCTGCTGCTGTTCCAGTGCTCTGGTTGTGTTAACGCTTCTTATAACCGCCGTACAGTCAGGAGGTCCTGCTCGTAAGGGTTTATCTTGAGCCTTGTGCCTGCGATGGTGCAGTAGCTGCATGATCTGCATCCCAGTCTCAAGCACTTGATTTACTGAAGCAGAGTGGCATTGAGTTCGGTGGCCACCTTAATTGATTACCAAATTATTTAGGCCCTTGAAGATATTCTCAGAGCAAAGCTGTAATGAATGTGTGTTATCTATTTGCACTGCAGCAATAAATATGGGTCTACCTACTGAACCTAGGAGGGCAAAGACCGCCTTTTTCAGTGTGCAGCTGAGAGGGTGAGCTGGTGAATATCTTTCCCCAGGGGCTGAGGCACGGTGAGGAAGGCAGGGAGGGAGAGAGCCAGGTTGAATCCCAGGCTCTGCGTCTGCGAGGCAGCAAGCCAGGAAGGAGCTCAAGGGTAGAGAAATGCAATGACTTAGCAGCAGATCGAAGGGACGGAGCTACGCGGGGGGGTGGCAGGAGCTACAGCTTTCGCTTGATGGGCTTGCTGGAGGAGGGTGACAGGTCAGGAGAGATCGGTGGGTCGATTCTCCCCTCCCTGAATACAGTTACAGGATTACGAGTGATGGGGTGAAATTACAGAGGGGAAGCTGTAACCTGAATGCTGCTGGCAGCTTCCTGAAGTTGAGACTGTGCTGAGGCTGGAGGTATCTGCTCAAAGGAAGGAGCAGTGGGAAGAGCCTGTTCCTGGAGGCATTTGTAGCTGCTGTACCCAAAGCTTACTGCTGGGGACAGTCACCCCCGGGCTGTGTTGGTGAGGTTTTCCATTTCCGCCCCTTTACAGCAGGGGACAGTGGAGGAAGATGTTGGCCTTGAACCTGAGGGGCTGAGCTGGGCTCTGTGCTGCTGTGGCACACCTGCGTGACCGTGGGGCATTGCTTCCCCTGGCTCTGTGCCGCTGTGGGGATGTGTGGCCACAGCACGTGCTGGCACCGCTGCACAGTTTTGCGTGCCCGGCACAGGCACGGGTAGCAGAGAGACCCGGCTGTGGTGACTCTGTCTGCTTTGCTGCTAAAAGCCCATGGCTTCCCACAGTTTTGTCCATAAAGACGCTGACTGAAGCTGCCTCAGGGATGCTTTTCTGTGCCACAGATCCGTGCTGGGGGTAGAGGTGCCATGGGGCAAGCCTGGTACGCATCCGTTTTGGGGAGAAGGGATCTTGCTGTCCCACAGAAGTGTCGGGGTAGGGCAAAACGGAAACTTTAAGGATAGTGAAGCTCTCCAGCAATACAGGGGAGAGGATGGGATATGCACCATGGAGCAACGACTGGGCTTTTGGAGGAGCTGTGAACAGCAGGGGCTGGGTGGGGACAGTGTGTCAGCATTCCTTATGGCCATCATCATCCTTGTAAGGGGACCTTGCCCCTGTGCTGCCAGGTCAGGTCATGATGCTCAGTAACTGTCACCGCCTTTCCCTGCTTTGTTTCCTGGAGGATCGTGAAGATGTCCAGCCCCAATCTGAACATTGTGACCCTGCTGGGCAGTGGCTTGACTTACGCTAGTGCTTACCTCTTTGGGATTCAGGAGCAGAGCCTACCGTCCGGTGACTCGGTGGAAAAGCTTATTCAGGTGAGCAGGGGGTTTGCTGGGACGGGTGCCTTCACACATGCACACACGTGCATGCACACACGTGTGTGCATGCATGTACATGCTCTCTCTTAGCTGCAGCCTGTCGCCACCTCGCTGCTGGGCGCATTCAGGCAGGCTGTGGTTTCCACATACACAAAACGCAACCAGATGCTTTCTGTCTGAATGGCCTTTGCTGTTTGTGCAAACCACACCCGCGCCGGGG